CCCTACACTGCTTTGTAATCAAAAGGCTAGAAGATTTACAGATTCTAATTCCTGTGAAAGCAATGGCAACATGACAGATTATTCCTCCAGCCATTTTATGCTCCACAGCAGCTAAGGCTCCAATGCACTCACTAGTAAAAGCTACCCAAACACTTTGGAGCTAATTTGGAAACTAACAACATTCCTTTAATCACTTCCTGAAATACCATGCAAGTGCCCTTCTGAGAGGTGAGGAACCCAGCTTTATGTCAATAACCTGCTTTCCTTGTATACAAGAACGCTTTGCAAAGGACTAACTATGAACTAGTTATGAGGTCAAACAATGACTGCTGATATAGCCTGGACAAATTTCAAGCTCCATTACCCTGGAAAAGACTAGATTTTTATGGTAAAAGCTACAACTACTTCATTTACAAAGTTAAGGTGGCAAAATATGCACAGTCAAGTGCCCTACATCCTGAAATTACCAAGTCAAAACTAACATTACCAAACATTCAGCTTTTTCCTTTAAAAAAAAATAAGGTAAATCGTACGGTCAGAAGTCTTATTCTAATATATGCCCAAGACTTTCTACAGTGGCCTTAAGTTCTAAATCCTACGTTACAAGCCACGCCTTCACTTCTTTAGTGCAATCTGGAAAATAATCAAATGTCTTTAAATGAGGCCTCTATCAGCAGCACCAATCAGAAATTCATGATCTAAGACCTTTCGCAGTGTGGTGTGATATTAAGCTTCTAATCTATTTTCAGAAAAAATGCTGACATTCAAGACATCATGGCATTCTCCTTTTGCACTATTCCTCAGGTAGCTCTTGTTAAAAGAATTTTGATGCCTCGAAATTCCAAACATTTATCAGATCAGAAACCAGCTGACAGGGCAAGAGGCAGTTTGTGGCGTTCAGTTTACCACACCAAGTACTTCTCCAGTGTTTTGACAGAGTTCTCCAAAACACAAACGTGACTGAGTATGTGAGAAACAACAGATTTTTTTAAAGAGCCATGTTCATCACTAAGGAAGGCAAATCCACATTAACAGACTCCACCTTACCTGGTATGCCAGTGCCTAGATGTTTCTACCTGTGTTCTCAACAAACTTCTACCCCACTTTGAAGTTAATTGAAAATTGAAAGATGGCAGGTCTGAATAACTGAGGTACTTCAGCACTTTACTTAAAGATCTGTTTTAAGGAAAGATTTGTTTCAGGCACTGCTTTTTGAAGTATTACACCTGACTAAAGACAGCTTCCTACTTAAATTCTAGTTTCCCTGATCACCACATACATACTCCTCTGTTAATCACATTACTGCAGAAAAATAGGGTTCATTTTGCCTATAGCACAAGTAATCAAATGATTTAACCAAAAATAAACAGCCTAAGTCTTTGCAATAAAGATGCTGTAAGCGAGAGCAATGCCATTTGTAAAAAAAGACTATAATTATTCCAGACAACTTATTAACACTACCTGCTGTCACTCTAGCACCATGCTTAAGTGACTAGTGTCCCAAGACCATGTTCTAGTGACCCACTCCCTCAGGCCAACACCTAACCTGTTATGTGATGTGCTGCCCCTTTATATGACCTATGACACATACACAACATCCAAATGCACTTTCTGCAAGATTCAAGCCTCTAGCAGTGAGGGTTATGCATCTACATTTCCTCCTTGCTCTGTCCACATGTGTCAGAAACCTGATCAGCCATCACAAATGTGTTACCAAGTTGAATTGCTTAAAGCAAATCCAAAATGGGAAAACAGGAGACAAATGAAAGAACATGCAGGTAGAACTATAGATAATACTGTACAGGCCAAGAAAAAACACAACACCCCACAGCTAAAAAAAAAAATCAAACTACAAGTCACAAAAACAACAATTCAGAACTTTAAAGTTTTTGTTCCTTCCTCGGAAGACAGTAACAGTGGGAATCGCACTGTGCCAATTTAAGCCCCCACTGATATAGATATCATTTTTGTACAATCTTTTAAACAAACTAGAAACCACTGAATGATACTTCTGCAGACAAAATTTCTTGTGACAACCCAAAGAACACCAGAGTTCAGAAACAGATCCTGACAGACAGAAACACACAGTAAAACAGCACAAAAGCACAGCCATATGCAGGGTGCACTCTTACCAAAGTTTTGGCTAACACTGCTTTCTTACAGCCACCACGGACAGTCATAATGACATTCTAGTGCTTAAAATAAACTGGCTTACTTAAGAAGCCTCACTGACACAAGATGATAAAACTTTGTCACATAACATCTATGCATAATTTTACACACACTAAACCCAGCCTATGCTTCACCATAAATGTACATGTATTATACTGACATCCCAGCATTTAATACACCATGAAATATACAAAATGCAGGAAATTTAAGTACTGTTTAATAAGGTACTGTGCTCTTCCTTTGAATTCATGAGAGCAAGCCACACATTAAAAACATCCTTTTTCAAGGGTCTTGAAGTAAAACAGCTTTTAAGTTATTAGTCACTTACATGAGGCAACAGAAAAGATTCAGCTACATCAGCTAAAGTGGCCCATGGAAAACTTGCAAGATTCAGGAAGCAGTCTCAGGTTAGATTTTATCAGGGTGAATAAGAGACATTAACAGGCCCTGCTTATGAGTAAGCCGGGGCAGGAGGCAGAGTGGGGCCCG